CACCTGGAAGCTGTGAGGACCCTGAAATAAACTTCGAGTCGTTTTATCCTGTCGGAGACACGTTTCGCGTTCGTTGGGGTTTACTTGATTGATTTAATTTGGCCAATTTTTTCTTTTTCTTCTTTCCCCAAATGCATTGGGTGCAGGATCTCATGAACTTGAAGGGCAGTTGATATTGGTAGCACCTCAAGCTTCTGGCTCAACGGTTATTCCTTTGGGTGATTCTATAAAGAGTTCCACTAATTAAATCGAAAGGTGATGTGAGTAATTTTCCTTCCCTCCCGGTGCTCTGCCCAGTGCAGTACTGTCAGGACCATAAGTGGAAAATAAAGCCCGGGGAAGACTGAAATGGACATGACAGAAATCTGTCACAAAGAAGTAGAGTGGAGGCAGCAGGACAGCCTATGAGGGTCGAGGAAAAGGTTCGGTTAGTTCTGCTCCGCCTTGTAAACACAGCCCTTAGAGATGATGTTTTGCAGTTAAAGGAAGAGATCTGGGGCCTGTTTTCATTCCAAATAAATAAGAGTGTCACAAAATTTGCTGCCAGTTAAAGACCATCTTTCAGTATGCTCTCCTCGTTTTTTAGGTCACGAATTCCCAGGAAGAAAATAATGGATTTCGCATCAGTGGTTCTCTAAGTGTTTGGACTCAGCAGTGCTCAGGGTGGTTGCAAAGCCCCGAAGAAGATGGCAACTCCTTACGTCCCAGTCCCCATGCCCATCGGGAGCTCTGCTTCCAGCTTCACAACCAACAGAAACCAAAGAACTGCTTCTTTTGGGAGCATCTCAACAAGCTCAAACTCCTCCAAAGGCCAGTTGGAAGACTCACACGTGGGAAACGTGAAACAGACAGGTGTGCCCGATCCAGTGGACAGCGTTTCCTCCGTCAGCAGCAGCCCCCTCCTCAGGACTAAGTTTACAAATGCAGATTCGTGCCTTGAGTATTCGGCTAGACCCAGAGAAAGCGAAGAGGAGAATACCGAAACAGATAATTCGGAAGACAGGCCTTCTACCCCTACTATTCTCGGCTATGAGGTGATGGAAGAAAGAGCCAAATTTACCGTGAGTATCAACCTTTGCAGTAGAAAGTGACTGGCTGACTCACCGTACCCTATACCTTGTTAAATTCATTGACGTTACCATGTATGCAATTTCTTGAAAACAACTCAAGCGGTTTTTACACTCTAAATTCTGTCATTGTAGTGAGCTTTTGTTTTACTTGAATGGTCACAAACCAGACATATGTGTGAAACCAGCACACAAATCAAGAAAGAACATAATTAGCACCCATAACCAAGTTCTGCAGTCAGCACCCTCTTTCCTGACAGCCTACATTAATTTTGCCTGTATGTGTACTTCACATTAGTGAAATTGTAGAGTATGTGCCCTTTTGGGTGTGGTCTTGTCTTCAGCACTGTGTTTGTGAGACTCCTCCTTGACCTTGGATGCAGTTGTAGGCAGCTCATTTTTATTACGGATGCTATTCCCTTGTGTGGATGTTGATCCCTTCTCCTGTTGCAGAGACTTGGGTAATTCCCAGTCTGGGGCTCTTGAAAATACTGCCACTGTGAACCTTTTTGTACTTGCCACTCAGTAAACACATGGACCCATTCTCTCTGATACCTGCCTAGGAGTAGAATTGCTGGATCCTGTGCCCAGCTTTAGAAAATATGAGAGATGCACCAGAGAGGTTGTACTAATTTATACTCCTGCAAGCAGGGTATGAGAGTTCCAGGTCCTCCACATCTTCCCAACACCTGGTATTTTTCCATCTTTTTCATTTTGGCTCTTCTAGCAGGTAGAGTGATAGCACATTAACTGGCACTTCTTAATGACTAATTAAATGGAAGACATTTGGGGCCACTTGGATATTCTCTTTAGTGAACAGTCTGTTCAAGATCTTTGTTCATTTTTCTGTGGGGCAGCCTTTTCCACTTGACTGTGCAGTTTTCTATGCATTTGGACATAAGCTTTCTTTCAGAACATGCATCATATCATCTCATTCTCTGCTTTGACTTTTCACTCCCTTAATGGTGCATTTGATAAATAAAGGTTCTTGATTTTAATCTAGTCCAATTTATTAACTTTTCTTACATGGTCAGCGCTTTTTAAAATCTGCCTACTCCCACTGGACCATGTCCTCTGCTTTCTTCTAAAAGCTGTATTGTTGGACCTCTCCTATTTATATCTGTGAACCATCTGGAATTCAGTTTTTCCATGGAGTGAGGTAGGATCGAGACACACTCTTTCCTCTCTACGAGATCGAGTGACCAGGCTTTATTGAGAAGACCTCTCTTTCTCCTCCGTGTTTGCACTGTTGCCTGTGACACAGATCAGATGACCATAAATGCATGGGTCTGATTCCAGATTCCAGTTTTCCCTCCTTTACCAATTCCACAGTCTAGCTGCTTGGTAGTCTTGATATCTGGCAGCCCAGTGCTCTAGCTGTGTGGTTCTTCAGGACTGATGTGGCTGCTCTGGACCCTCTGCATTGGGATTGTATTGAGCCTAGACTGACCTGGGAGAACTGAGGTCTTTACCATACTGAGTTTGAATCTGTGAACTCAGTTTGTTTACTTAAGTTATTTGCTTCCTATGGTGACATCCGTTAGTTTTCAGGCAGAGGTCTGACATCCTTTGGTTAGACTTACGTCCAGCTGCGGGTGTTGTTGGATGGTCTTGATTGCTTTCTCTGTTTTCTATGTGTTCTTTGCTAGTTTATATATATCAGGCTTGTGTGTTTATGTTCCAGCAACTTTGCTAAATCCACTTACCAGTTGAAATAGTTTGTTCTTTCTCTTGTATTTTCTTGAGGTGAAATTTATGTTTATGTCATTTTGTGCTGCAGATTTACAACAGTATGGAAGGGCCACCAAGAAAAAAATCATTGGGAAAATTTAGGAAGAGACAGTCTTTACAATTAATTATCATGAGAGTGATGATGTGTTGGAAATCTGCATGAACTTGACTTTTTAGAGTGATTTTCAAAGTTAAAATAAGCTGGTGGCTCATTTCCTTGCGTTGACCTCCCTCCCTTGTGAAGGAATGAGCATTCATCGAGGTGGTGTGTGAGAGTGCAGGGTCACAGGTGGACGTAAGGCGGTGGCGTATGAAGTCCTTCAAGACCTGGCTGAGGAAGAGGTAACAGCCGATACAAGATTAGTCATGTTCATTTAGTCATTAGTTCAACGTATTTTTAGCACCTGTTATGTCCCAGGCACTGTTACCTTCGATCCCGCTTATAATGATCTCAGATCAGGATTTTCTGGACACTTTAAAGGGTGTCAGATGGTCTTCCTCACTTTTATGTTATGCAGATAAATTACTTATGTTTTATCTCAAAGCTAAAGTTTCCATCCTTACCCCTTGATGATTCTCCCCCTAAAAACTGGAAGAGAAGTCTGCCTGTGAGGGGAAGAATCCATGGGAAGGGAGGTGTCCGGTCCCGGTTACAGGCAGCACCATCCACGTGGACTGGCCACGTTCCAGGTGCTCAGAGCCATGTGGCCGGCCTGAGGCTTGAGCTACAGGGACGGTCATTGCACAGTCAGGTTCCAGGGGCCTCACTCATTCAGCAGATGTGAGGTGCTTCCTAAGAGCTGTGCATTTCGCTCAGCCCAAAATACTGCACCAGAAACTACCAGATCTTTGAGATTCTGCTACAAATAGTACTTCCTCATAATAAATTCTAGAAGTACACTTATCAAAAATAGAACTAGTGTTTTCTGATAATAAGCTGCTTTGAATGTTGACATGCTTCAAACAGGTTTTTCTATTCAGTAGCCTGGATGATTGTGCGTGATTCTGGAAATGTAAACTTTTATCTAATGTGGGTATTTGTTAGCTTGTTTTCAGGCTTAAAGATTAAAACATCAAATTTATTTTAAAACGTCACCTTGTAGTATTGAGTTTAAAAATTAAATTGATTGTATAGGACAAGAGTGGTTATTCTTCATAGCTTTTTCAGGCATGAGTGATTCTTTTATCAGTTTTAAAGTACGTGGCATGAAATATATTTTGGAAGCTGATGAGTTCATTGTTGTTAGTGTGCACCAAAGAAAGCATTTTGTCCCAAATTGATCATAGCCTTGTTTCCTAAGAAAAAGTCTTGCTTTTCATGCCTATATTGATTATTTGTACATTTCATGGTCTAAATGGTTTCTGATGTTTTTTACATAATAGTAGTTATGATCTAGATTGTCAAGTAAAAGTTTTTAAATATTTGCTTTGAACTTTTAAATAATTTTACATATGTTTTCTAACCCTTCCTCCACGTAGGTATATAAAATACAAGTTAAGAAAAACCCGGAAGATAGCTGGGTAGTGTTCAGAAGATACACTGACTTCTCTAGGCTTAATGATAAAGTAAGTACTTCAATAAACCTCAGGTGGACTTTTCAGTGTTGAATTTTTATCATCTGTTCCTGCCAGTTCTGCTGTTACCTTTGTGTGTTTTCTTCCTTGTTAATTATTTGCGTGAAGACAGTTCTTTGCTAGTTCCTCAGAAAATCCCCTTTCAGTTCACTTTCATAGCCTGAAGTCCCATTTCCACACGTAACTTTTTTTTTGAAAAGAAAAAATAAAAATTTGAAAACCTAAACATTATTGACACAAAATAATTAAAATACACCTATTTGTTATCTAGTGTGATTTCAGTGGGCTCAGCCGGGTCTGTTGCTGAGGCTCAGACATAGTCCATATTGAACTGTCAGCTCCACTGGGCTCTTATCTGGAGACTCCGGGAAGGAATCAGCTTCCAGGCCCATTCAGGCTGTTGGCAGAGTTCACTTTCTCGTGGCTGTAACACCGAGGTTCCTGTGTCCCTGCTGGTTGTCAGCCAGAGGTGGCTCCTAGCTCCCAGAGCCCGCTCTGCAGTCCTTGCACAGTGCTCTCTAGCCTCAGAGCTGGCCCCAGTGAGTCCAGTCCTCGTGCCTGCAACCTCTGACTTTCTCCCCTGCCACCTGCCACAAGGAAGCTGTACGCAAAACGCTCCTGTGATAAGATCAGGCTCACAGATAATCTCCTTACCCTAAGGTCAGCCACTAGAAATCCTAACTGCAGCTGCAGGATCCCTTCTGTAGCAGGTGGGAAATCACAGAAGCAACACCAGGGGCAGGAGTCATGGTTTCTTTTTGGAGGCTTATTTATAGAAACACCAAATGCCTGTTACGATGTCATTTTTGCAGGAAATATATTCATGTTTTAATGTAATGAAATAGAAAAACTTGCTTTGATTAGAGTTTATTTTAAGTGAATGTAGAGTTTCCAAATTGTACTTTGTTCAAAATAAAGTTATTGATTACCCATAATCTATAATACGAAGAATACCCTTACAACCTTGGAGTGAGCAAAGATTTCTTAGACAGGATCTTAAAAAGCATAAACCCATAAAAGGCAAAATGGATGAATTAGATAGCATTAGAATTTAAAATGTATGCTCTGTTAAGAGTGTTAAAATGAAAAGTCAGGCCACAGTCTGGGAGAAAATATTTGTCATATGTGTATCTGACAAAGGACTTATATCTGGAATATAAAAAGAACTCTTACAATTTAATAATAAAAACAAATAATTTTTTTTTCTAAAAAATGAGGGGTCTGAAGATTTGAATAGATAATTCACCAAAGAAGATATGCAGATCCAAATAAGCACATGAGAAGATATTTAATATCACTTGTCAGCAGAGCCATGCAATTAAAGCCACAGTGAAACACTACTCCACACCTACTAGGATGGCTAACAGTAAAAAAACGGACAATGCAAGTGTTAACAAGGAGGTGGAGCAACTGAAACTCCTATGGATACACAACTGGGAGAAGTCAAGTAAAACAGCCAAGGTGTAAAGAGCTTAACTGGATTTAATTCTTTTATTTTAAGCTTATTTCGTGAACAGTCGTATCTAGTCAATGGGTTAGATTTTGTAGACTTGGTATCACAGAGTTGAACAATGTATATTCTTTTTTCTTCTTTTTCAGTTAAAAGAGATGTTTCCGGGCTTTCGATTAGCACTTCCACCCAAACGCTGGTTTAAAGACAATTACAATGCTGACTTCTTAGAAGATAGAAAATTAGGATTACAAGCATTTCTTCAAAATTTAGTAGCTCACAAAGACATTGCTCACTGGTATGTAGCAAATGGAAATGAGAGGTTATAAATGCATTTCAGCAACTAGTTGAAACCAAAGAATAAGCCTAGGACCGTATTACTCAATGTGAACAAAAGCTATAAAACAAGCATAATTACTTGTCCTCTAACAAGCTCTGCATGGAATTTTCTTGCTTTTTTTCAGTAAGTACTTTATTGGGTGCTTGATTTGTGTTAACACTTTTAAAAAGTCAGCAGAGTTAAAAATTCAGGGTATCGTACAGTCAGACCACTCAACTGTTAACTTGATTTGAGTTTTTAGTATTTTAGCAATCATTAAACAAAATGGCCCTCATGTTTTTGGTTAATATGACACTATATAATTTTGAGGGTAGTGTGTTTTATATTTTTTCATAGTAAATTGTGAAGTTGGGGTAATTTATGTAGAAGTTAAAGGGAAAAATACCAAAAAAAAATTAAAAAGGGAGAGAAAGGATCTTATGGGTTTGGCTTCTGAATATATTTATAAGAAAATTATTTTAGTATCAACTGGGTATCTGATTTTGGAACCTACATTAAAGCTATTTTGAAAAAATTAGCATTGGCAAGGCAGTGATGGCGTATAAATTCCCACATCTGTAACTGTCTTTAGTGGTTTTTCACATAAGGATAGAAAACAAGAAGACCATCCTGTCTCACTATCTACCCTTTTTCTCTGTTTTTCTGTGTATTGCCTGTTATTCATGACATGCACACTATACATGTACCTCTCACTCCTTAGTGTGAGCTGCCGAAGCTCGATGGCTCCCTGAGACTCTGCCCACTGCCTTCATTTCCCTCTGAGGGCAGCTGTGAGCCAGACCCCTCTCAGCTCCTCATTCCGGACGTGCTGTCTCAGTGACCTGAAACTGACTTCAAAGCCGACTCTCTAGGACCTCCCAGCCTTCAAAAGCTGTCTACCCAGAACCCCTTAGTCCTTCCTTTATGTTTTAAACTCCACTCAAATCTGCCTACTTCTCTCCATCCCTGCCCTCAACACCCGGTCTGAGCAGTCACCTCCGTCACTGCAGAGGCCTCCCCTGTCCCTGGAGGCACAGTGACCTTCCGTGACGCAGTTCAGCTCCTGCTGCTCCGGGCCTGCCTGCCCTCCTGTCTTCAAGTTTGCTGTCATCCTCTGTACGCCAGCTGTATTGGTCTTTTTATCTCCCAGGGTCACCTTGCTCCACTGTCCCTTAGGGCCTTCAAGAGTCCTGCTCCCTGGGAGGCAGTGTGCCACCCACTGCCCACCTGGCCCCGGCCCCAATAAGGCCCACACGTCCTCCAGCATCCGGCGCACCCCCTTCCTCAGTCCCTGCTCTCGGCCACAGCAGGTGCTTGATGCAACGCCAGGATCTGGGCTCAGCTCCCTCTCCTCTTACCCTCAGGGCGGCGTTTAATGTCATTTTTAAATGTTTTCTTAACTGGTGGACAATGAGGAGGAACGGTAACCGACAGAGTTTCTCCTTGGCGCCTTCCGTGGTGTTTTCACACACTGACTTTTGGTGCCAAACCCCATTTGGACAGGATTGGTATCTAGTATTTTTACTACATTTTTTTACTTAATTCTTAATTGACCTTTTTTTTTTTTTTAATGTATCTTTATTGATCTCAGAGAGAGGAAAGGAGAGGGAGAGAGAGATAGAAACATCAGTGATGAGAGAGTCACTGATCGGCTAGCCCACAACCCGGGCATGTGCCCTGACCGGGAATCGAACCCTGATCTGCTGGATCCTAGGTCGATGTTCAACCGCTGAGCCACGCCCTGCCGGGCTTAATTGACCTCTTAATGAATTGTCAGCGTTAGTTTTAGGGGTTTTTTTTCCTTTTAAAGTATAATATTTGAGATAAAGAGCACAGTTAGCTATTAAGTAACTGGTCTTTTAAAAATTGACATGTAAGCTGATAGGAACCCGAGAAAGGAAACAGGGAAATAAAGTAGCAAAGTGCAGGCAAAGGGCCACCGCGTGGAGCCATTCGTAGGAAATTTGAAAATACACTAAAACCCTTAATGCAGACCTTTCAAGAGGATCGAGGAAGAGTCTAAGTTACGGGGCATATTTGCCAGGATAATGGAAACACGCTGAAGGATGCTGCCTGGGGTGCCCACCCCTTCTCCAGGCCTGATCAGCCAGCTCCTGGTCCTGGCTTTATTGTAGCGTTTTCCCAACGCTGAGAAAAGAATGTCTCATGTTGGGCTGTTAAACACCGACAATGTTAAAAAGACCCTTCCCCACGCTGCTCAGGACTTTCCTTCTCCATCTTAAAGCCTTTATCTCAGGGCTTCCTCTGAGCTCCTGACTTCTCAGTCTCGAGGTAATTTATGTCCTGCAGCTCATTTTTGCCTGCTAGATGGTTTTCCAGTGTAAATGCTTGGTGGGTGGGAAGTACAATGTCTAGACCAAAAGAACACAGTGGTCCTGACCTCCATGCCATCAGACCCGCTGCAGTGGTGAAAGCCTTGATGAAAGGGAAACAGGCCCCTCGAATGGTGAGAGAGGTGACTGGGAACAGGAGAGAATCCACATGAACCAAAATGTAAGAGGAAAGGTTTTACAGGTAGAAAAAGACTCGTGTCTACGCTCAGCGGGGCTTTAAGAACTGCCTCTAACCACCTGCACTGTGTGGCCTTGAGTGAGCCCGTCTGCCTCTGAACTTTGGTGTCATTTGTGGAATTGAGAAATAATGTCCATCCTGACTTTCATGATTGTGGTGAAAATTAAACGAAATAGGACGTGTTGCCCTGTGTGTGCAGTGTACTTTGAAAATGTGAGGCGATGGGCACGTTAATCAGCGTGATTGCAGTTCATGTTGCTCGGTGTGTGCATACGAAATCAGGTTGTACATTTAGACGTGTACATTTGCAATTATGCCTCAGGGAAGCTGGGAAGGTTGGCTTCCTGAATCTGAGACCCTGAAGGAAAAGGAAATGTTAGTGTATCAGTATTGTTTCTTGGAGACACGAGGTTAAGGGAAATACAAGTGTTGACATATTTTAGGGTCATAATGTGAAAAGAGCTTAGATTTATCTTAATAGGCCCCAAAAAGTGGAACTAAAGCTCATGAATAGAAGCTGCCGGGAGGAAATAATTTCCTGGTTTTCAGTTGTTCGAACGCAGGGTGGAATATTCCCTGGTTTTGGAGGCGTCTTGGTGTTCTCTCGGCAAAACATATTAAAGGGTTGAAAAGCAGGCCCTGGACTGATCCCCTCGTCCACACGAAGCTCCCTCCTTGCTCTATTCCAAGTGTGTGGATACTCAGATTTTCTCTGTCTCCTTGACTGTGTGTCCCTTATTACCTGTATTGTCAAGACTTTGTAGTCCAGAAACGTGCTCCTCTCTGGGATCTTCTGGATTGCTTTCTCAAAACCACTTCTCTATATTAATTCATACTGTTTTTCTTTGGGAAGTTTTCACTAAAAATCCCAGTTTTATCTTCATGACCATTCCCTGTCATCATCAACCTTTCTGGCCCTACCTGAACCCAAAGTCCCCACTCCCTTTTCAGCACAGGTCAACATCTCCATGTAGTGCATTGAGAAATTATATTTCTGTCCTTTCCACCTTAAAAAATTAAATATCCACACTTACGTTTTAACATGCACATAGAGTTGTCTCTGTCCAAAACTGCTTTTAGACAGTGGAGTATTTCTGTAAAAACAAAGCTTAATTTCCTACATTCTTAATCTATTTCTAATAATTCCAGAGTATAAGCTTAACAGTACCATATTTCATTTTGAAATTTATGGTAATTTAGCAGTGGCATGGTCAGAATTTTTCCCTTGAACTCTCTAGGAAGAAATACTTAACTGAATTAATATAATAAAAAAGATTGCAACAAAATCTTTAACTTTTTTTCGAGTAAATACTCTCTAGTTATTAGATGTGTCTCCTGAAGAAGAAATAAATGAAGTATAAGTTAGAAATAGTATTTCTTCATAACAAGATAGCGATGTTTTAGACTACTTCCGGCTAATACTTCTATGAAAGAGATACCATCTCGTCTATCCATCTCTTAGATTGGTCATCTCTCACCTATCCATCTCTTGGATTGGTCATCTCTCATTTACCCAGCACTTAGATTGGTCATCTCTCATCTATCCATCTCTTAGATTGGTCATCTCTCATCTATCCATCTCTTAGATTGGTCATCTCTCATCTATCTATCTCTTGGATTGGTCATCTCTCACCTATCCATCTCTTGGATTGGTCATCTCTCATTTACCCAGCACTTAGATTGGTCATCTCTCATCTATCCATCTCTTAGATTGGTCATCTCTCATCTATCCATCTCTTAGATTGGTCATCTCTCACCTATCCATCTCTTGGATTGGTCATCTCTCATTTACCCAGCACTTAGATTGGTCATCTCTCATCTATCCATCTCTTAGATTGGTCATCTCTCATCTATCCATCTCTTAGATTGGTCATCTCTCATCTATCCATCTCTTGGATTGGTCATCTCTCATCTATCAATCACTTAGATGGTCATTTCTCATCTACCCATCATTTACATTGGTCTCTGCACCATTCTTCCAAATCATGTTTTATTTCTGTAGTTGTTACATAACATAAATTCTCCATCTCTGTTTATGTTCATAAGATCTTAGAAAATAGTCTAAAATCTCTATCTCTGTATCTTCTGTTTTTTATGTTTATATTTGGTTACTTGTATGGAGCCATGTAAACCAACTTGTTTATTTTGGTGTATCAGCAGCCAACTTGCTTAAGAAACTTTTGCTTTCTGCAATCTTCTGTAAACTTATTTGTACCCCAGCTAATTTTTTTTTTCCTTTGGAAAGCCTGGCGGTGAGAGAATTTCTCTGCCTGGACGATCCACCGGGTCCATTTGATAGCCTGGAGGAAAGCAGGGTGAGTCTGTATTACATGTCCCATGAAAGAGGGACCAATAACTCAGCACAGTAACTGCACTGTTCCCTGAACGGATAGCAAACAGCAGACTATCATAACTGCAGACCCCTCCGCCCCCCCACCCCGTGGTAGATTTGCACAGAAAGCTTTTAGTGTTCGAGTCAGAGGTTTCTTTCAGTGAAACGCATGTACCTGGTTCAGTGAAGACATAAAAACTCACAGATGTCACGTAGCCAGTCAAGCTCTAAAACTAAGTCCCGTGTTTTATTCTCTTTATTTCTACTGTTAAAAAAAAAATTTATTTGCGAATTTATTTTACTCTATTTAAAAGGACTATTTGCATGTTGAGTTTTCTTCCATCTGAGCATCCAAGTCAAGAGCCTACAGTTCAAATCAAACCGAAACTTACTTTCCAAGGGAGAAGGTGTTGTCTTGTTATCAGTCCAGCCCCCGCTGACGCTGCTCAGGTTACACTAATTGACGTGTTAAGGTGGCCTATTTCTTGAAGCTCTTGGCTAGATTATCCAAACAGATTTGGTAATAATGGATTAGCTAGAACTTTTTGTAAGTTTTTTTTTCCCAAATGTTTAACGGTGCTTAAATGGGACACATTTAATTGGTAAGTTTGTAATGTTCCCAGTTAAACTGAGTCAGTTCTTTGTATCACAGTGAATTCCATCGCTTTTTAAAAGCAGCTTTATTGAAGTAAAACGTTCATCCATACAGTTCACTGCTTGCTATTCCATTGTAAATGTACAATTCAGTAATTTTGGTAAATGTATAGGATTTATTCTTATGTTCTTATATCATACTTGATGTTTTTCTAATTTACGCTTGGATTATTGATTTTTGTATATTTGTTTTCTGTGTCACATCTTTGGTGAAATCTCATTGGCTTGTGCACTCTTTTGATTTACTATTTACTATTTCTGTGTACTGTTGCTGAGCTCATACAAATGGATCGGTAGCCTCCATTTTTTAACAAGTAGAGTCATTTAGGACTGGGCAGAAATAGACTGAGGAGAGTAGAAACTCGTACAGCAGTTGTAGTAATTTTTCATTCTGCACAGAAAGATCTATCGCATGTTCTCCTCAGACACTGGGGTGGGTGGGGACAAGGAGCTGTGACAGCAGAGACCAGAAAAGGTGCAGACACATGACTTAGGCTACAGCATGTCATCTGGACTGTCCATGTTCCCGACTCTTCCTCATGATCTCGAGAAAAACTATAGATGTCATTAGTTTTACTCTTTTCCTACAGATGATTTTTGTTCATTTGCTTTTAAGGCTTTCTGTGAAACCTTAGAGGACACAAACTACCGTTTTCAGAAAGAATTACTTGAAAAACAGAAAGAGGTGGAGTCGCTGAAGAAACTGCTCGGTGAGAAGCAACTCCGTATAGACGCGCTAGAGAGCAGGCTCAGGTGTGTGGATTACCTGCGTTTCTAGTGGGACTGGGGCACTTCTCAGCACTCGGCATAAACGCCCTGTGTATTTTCATAGGGTTCAGGAAATTTCTCATTCCAAAGTCACAGGCTTGAGGTGTACTTCCTCAGAGAGTAAGAAAACTATGTTTTGGTTATTTATTTAGGAGCCTGAACATTTGAAGGATGGGAAACATCAGGATAATAAGACTCTAGCTGTTCAACAGGATAAACATTATTCATTTTAACCTATTTATTTATTTATTTATATGTGTCTTTATTGATTTCAGAGAGAGGAAGGGAGAGGGAGAGAGAAATGTCAATGATGAGAGTCATTGATCGGCTGCCTCCTGCACACCCCCTGCTGGAGATCGAGCCCAAAACTCAGGCATGTGCCCTGACCGGGAATTGAACTGTGACCTCCTGTGTCATAGGTCAGTGTTCAACCACAAGCCACACCAGCCCAGCCGTTTTAACCTATTTAAGTGGTATCTTTGTTTCCAGGCGTATATGCCAAATTTCCTCATCCAAAAGTTCTAGTTTACCTTCTTGTCAGCATGTATTGAATTAATGCTAAAATTGTTTAAAATTAACCATAAACACTGATGTTTCTGTTGGCTCCCAGCACGCAATTCGTGTGCCACGTGACAGCATTGAGACTTGACCAGTAGGGCCGCCTGCATTCACAAAGTGAGCATTTTAGTGGAGAGGATTCTGGTAAGAAGGTAACCCGTGGCTGTAATTCGCTTGCAGGGCACTGTGCTCAGACCCTGAGGAGTCACTGCACTTGTCAGGTACCGAAGGTGACCACGTCCTAAAGGTGGAGGCCCCTGCACTCGAGGCTGACCCAGAAGTCCTGGGTGAAGAGTTCAGGTGGGTGATGCTTTGTCTGTTGGAGCCTAACCGTCTGAGTAATTGGAGGGAGATAACAATCTGACTCAGTGCTCGATAGAGTCTCGTTTATGAACTCATTTGTTATTGTGTCACGAGTCTGCTGCACAAACAGAACGACGGTAGGTGTTGTAGGCCGTCCTGCAGAGTCTTGGGCATCCAGCTGTGAGTTTTCTTATCACTAAATCTGAAGCTGTATCTGAATTAACTGGGCTGTAAACCTTGACCAATTACTTTAGTCTCCCACAGTGTCACTCTTTTTCCATTCAAACTGTGGGTACTGTACTTGCCAGCACCTGCCTACATGACGGGAGTGACAAAAAATCCTATTTTTAAAAGCCCATCAAATTTTTATTGCATATAATTGCAAGTAATTGTTAATACTTAAATGGTAGTAGTCGAGCTATAATTATGACTACAAGTGTATGTTTATAAGGTAATTACACACTAAATTTTTATTGATAAGTGGTTGTTGAAAGAGCTGAAAGAATTAAAAATATATCTCCAGAAGTTCTCTAGCAGTGACATTCCTGATTAAATATTTTAGTATTCTCCCATCTTTAAAGGTAGCAGCAGGCAGTCTTGACGTTGATGTGTCTCTTTCTTCACAGAGTTGATGACAGGCCAGGCTGTCTCGGTGAACCTGAGAACGCCCCGTCGGAAGTGGAGGTGGCTGAAGTGGCCTATGACGCCGAGGAGGCGGAGGGCTGATCCGCCAGCCAGCCACTCCCTCCCTCCACGGCTGCGTCTCCATCTCAGCAGCTTCAGAAGAGAGGCCAATACTGGAAAAGCAAAAAAGACTGAAACATATACAGAAAAGAAAACAGCGAGGATACACATGTATAAAGTTTACATAAAGAAAAGCTGTTAAGTTATTGGGATAGGAAATATATTCACTGATGCTTTAAATTGTCTTTTAGTCAACCTTTGGATTTAATACACTAAAAAAATCTGGTTAGAGTTCTGCTATCAAGACCACCTTCTTAAATAACATGCATAAGTTATTTTGGTGTTTTGCTAGTGTGTTGCTCTGGACTACTTACTGTGTGTTGAGCTTACCAGCTACCGTAGTCAAATGGAAATGAATTGCATGTTGCCATCTGCTTGATACATACTCCTTTGTGATCTAGTTTCACTAACAGTGTAAATCAGTGGTGAAGAATTGAGTTTTAAATATTGATGTGTTTGCCATCTCTAAATAAGAATTGCTTACTCAGAATGTTACTGCTCCTTAAAAGTAGAAAACCTCCTAGTACCAAGGGAACACTATTTGAAAGAGCTGTGATCACATTGCTAAGGCGATAAAACAGCCTTGATTTTAAAAGCTGGTTCATTAATACAAAAATACTGTAGCAAGTGTCCTGATTTATTGTTAGACTTGTTTATTTTCCACATAATCTTCATCTCGAATCTCTACCGGTAGTCGGTGAGTTGGCCTCCTTCGGAGCACTACCTCTTTTTGCTATTCGAGGCATACCCGTTGGACATATGTTATGGATTCTAATAAGGAGTTATAAAAAGAAAAGCCATATATGTTCTATGAAGTTCCTAGCTATGTTGGCTCCTGGTGTTGCACTTTTATTCCTATATGTGTAAATATGTTATGATAGTCTATTCTTGGCCGATTTCCTTTTTAATGTATTTAGCCAAGTGACGCACTTTACGGTAATTAAACTCCTGTGCCAAGTTGACTTGGTGAATTTCTTTAGTGAGCAGAGGCAGGGCCTGCACTTTTACAAGTCCCCTGGCGTCTGAGTCAGCCATAGGAAAACTCGTTCATTTCAGCTTCGCCGACAGTTGTCAAAAGTGCCTTGTTTCATTTTTATAGTATGAAGTGAGTCGTTCTCTGTTTCCACTGTTTTGTGTATTGCTGTCAATAAGCATCGTGCCCGTGCTAGCGTTTGAGATCCCAGTTGGCACACTGACCTCCGCATACGTCCTGAAGACTGAGGGAGCTTGCTGGGGAGATGGACTCACCAGCCCCGTGTTTTCCTCCATCACTAAAAGCGAGTCAGTGTCTCAATGGCTGCATTAGGTTGGGGTTATTTAAACTCGCAGATCAGCTCCAATGCCTGCTGCTGGCCTTTGATCTGAAAAGGAGACTGCTTTTTACCAAAGCACCAAACATTCTAAAAGTCTATGTTAAAATGCCGCAGGCGTGCCCTTTTCCACGCAGTGCACCAGAAACGTGTTCACTGTCCCGGGTGGCAGAGAGAGCACCACCCTGCTCCACTTGTCTCTTTCAGAATATTTTCCCAGGTTTAAAAAAGGTTTAAAAAGAACAATCATTTAAATTAATCAGTGTGATTTTTAGTCTAATGAGACTCGTTTATGCCAGATTCCAGGTATCGTAATGCCACGTGTCTGTTTTAAAGTGAACCACACTCTAAAAATCGGGCCTTTCAGAAGGCTGTATCTAAAGTTCACGGTGGGTGAAGAAAAATTTATTGATTAGATAAACCACTGTTCCTTATGTTTAGAATGTACTTTTTTACTTTTGTAATGCATTTTATTCCCAGTGTGATACCCATTTAATAAATTATTCTTTCAGTGCGACAGTAGCTTGTTCCGGCGTTGACTGCCCTCCCTTCGGTGCCTCTGTGCCCCCGACTGAGTGACCTTGGTTGTAGTTGGCCGCTGCCTTCTGCCGATGGGGAGTGAGTTTATGTTTACACTTTATATCAAGTCTTTGTGAAAAGGCGCAATGCACTTCAAATGTCACTGACATTAATAAAAACCGAACCAAACTGAAACAGGAAACTTCTGTGGGTGATCTTTTAACCTGTGAGAAATGAAGTTGACGTATAGCTAGTACCATGAAACGCAGCCTTTTAAACTGTCGTCCGTCTGCCTGCTGACACGAGCCATTCTGAGCACGTTTGTTTAGCAAAGCGTGTTCCTCAGGTACACGTCTACGTGGTCGGCGTCAGCTGCGCTGCTGCGGGCAACGGCGGCCTTGGGTCCGGGAAGGATTTGGATTTCAGAGCAGAGGAATAGAGGGGTGTTTGGATTATGTTAAAACAGGTTTATATTCCCAGCTAGGAAGTAAGAGAAATCTACACTCCATCCTCGGGAGATTTTCACAGAACGTCACATCTGACCATAGACCTCCCCGTTCTGCGTCTTGGCTTCTGTTAGCACCACACTCATCGAAGCTGTATTTTCAGCACGTGCGTTCTTAAGGCCGATGGCTGTGTCACGTGGGGGACAGTTCCCTTAGGTCTCAGCTCCGGTAAAACCGGTGCTGCTCCTCAGCAGGCTCAAATCTCAGAGACTGTCTTTTCTCCTCGTGCCCTTGGGCAGTTCTGAGCCAAGCCAGTTCACCTGCCGCCTGCTGCGTGGAGCCTGGTGAGTTCCAGCTTTGTGAGTAAACGGCTGTGTTTCTACCTTACGTTCTCTTAACTCCAGGTGTCCTCCGTATTTCTCTATTACAAGGTACATATTTTTATTCTGAGAAGGCCCCAGGTTGGTGTTTTTAGACGACATGATCTAGGAACTTGCCACAGCCTGTCCTAGCCGCGCAGAGCTAATAACTCTCTTCCTTAAAAGGTGCCCTGGAGGAGAGCAGCCGGTGGACGCAGAGGTGGGAATGCCACGTGGCTCTGGGCAGGGTCTTGGCCGGAGCTCGGTCCTGATAACTCCCATGATGGTTTTAACCGCAGCCTCAGATTAGCACAGGCCCCACTTGCCACTTGCTTCCTGACAAAAGCTGGACAGTGTCACTGTCCCCACGCAAAACAAGTGGCAATAAGACAGTAGTAGAGCCGGTGTATTCCCAGCAGAGGGAAGGCGGGGCTGCTCTGTGACGGGCACAGGTGAGGATGGGCAGGACTTGACCCTCAGGTAACCTTTGCAGCCTGGCAGCTGCCATCAGAGAGGCGCTAGCGTTAGGTGTAGGCCCAGGTCCTTTGCTATCGTGGGAGACTAAGCCCAGTGGGGCGACCAAGGCCGGACCTGAGAGACCCTCGCAAAGCAGCGCACCTGCCGTCCCGGCCCCGGGTCCCGCACAGCAAACACCACTCGGGGACCAGCCCACCCAGCGGAGGTTTGCGTTGCCCCCGAAATCGGAATTGGAAAGCCTGCAGCTGACCCTTGGGCAGCGGGGGTCAGGGGGGCCGAGCCCAGCCAGGCAAAAGCCACCCGACTCTGCAGGCGCCCGGCGCGTGGCCAGGAAGGGACAAGATCCCGCGTGTTCGTGGACCCGCGCAGCTCAGGCCCCGTCAAGCAAGGTCAGCAGCACCCTCCTGGGCTCCCCGCGGCCCGAGGGAGCCTGTGCGGGCCTCGTGGCGCGTGGGGAGCACGAGGGGCGCCCCTGGAAGGGCTCGCGGCTGCACGCCTCCCCCTCCCGTTCTGATCCCGGGTGCGGGCGGAAAGCACCTGGCAAACAGGTGCGACAGGTGAGGGGGATGAGTCACCCAGGCCGCCTCTGGCCAGCCCTGTAAACCTGTGTTTTCCTGGCTGTGCCAGCCCCAGAGCCTGTCATCCTGCAGACATAGGATAAAACCTAAAGTTCCTGAAAATTTTACTTGAACGTATTATCAGATTCTGAGCCATGCAGAACAGTAACGTAATTATTGGAATTATTTCAGGCCAAAACGATCTTCATTGTGGATTCCATTTTCACAGTGAATCTATGACTCTCAATATTTTAAATTCTGTGGATGGAAGTTAACCTGTAAGTTTTGTCTTAATATACAAGACATGGCTACATGGTCGGGGGAAATGCTTCTGTCCTGAAAGAAACCCAGTGAATTTACCTGTAAAAGATTCCACTTATTTGAATAATTAATAAAAATGTGGAGGGTGTTTTTTTTTTTTTTCTTACAAAACTTATCTTTGTGCTCCCTCTGGTGGCTTCTCTCAGAAAAGAATTTTTATCTGCTAAGTTCAAGGTGTTTTCAATTCCTCAAATTTCAAAGAAAATTTACCAAAACTCTAAACTACGGATGTAAATGTTAAAATATGCGGAGAAGCTGCCTGACACATGGTATGTGGGTTTAAAGGTGCTTCATCATTCATTCCTCACTCAGAAGCACCCATCCGGTGCCTACTGTCAGAAGGTGAACCAAGGTCAACTAACATTTGACAAGGGAACAAAGAATACTCCATGGAGAAAAGACAATGTCTTTAAAAAGCTGTTCTGGGGAAACTGCATATTCACAAGCAAATGACTTAAACTAGACCCTTATCTTACACGACTCCCCAAAATCAACTTAAAATAGATTAAGGACTTAAATGTAAGGCCAGAAACCACAGACCTTTAGAAAACATGAGAAAAAGATTCTTGACATGGGTCTTAGCAATGATTTTTTTTTAATATGACACCTAAAGTAAAAGAAACCAAATTAAAAATACGCCAGTGGGACTACATCGAAGTACAGGCTTTTGAACAGGAAAAGGAACGATTGACAGAATGAACAGGCGAGCTGTGGATTTTGAAAAACATATTTGCAAATCACGTGTCTAAGAAGAGGTTACTATCTAAACTACACAAGTTACTCAAAGAACTCAATAGCAAAAGTCGAGTAACCCAATTAAAAAACGGGCAGAAGACCCGAACAGACATATTCCAAAGGAGATATATGAATGGCCAGCAGGTACACGAGAGGGTGTCCAGCATCTCCAATCATCGGGGAAATGCAAATCAAAGCCAGGATGAGCTGTCCCTCTCGCCTGGTAGGAGAGCCGTCATCGAGAGGACAAGGTACATGCCGGTGAGGCTCTGGGGGAAAGGGGCCTTTCTGCACTGCTGGTGGGGCTGGCAAGTCATACGGCCGCTATGGAAAACAGCGCAGCCCGGCTGGGGCGCAGGAGGCCGCCCATCCACGACTCTCATCGTAGATGTTTCTCTCTCTCTCCCGCTTCCACTCTCTCTGAAGATCAGTGGGAAAAAATACCCTCAGCTGAGGATTAAAAAAATAACACTTAAAAAAAATTTTTAAAGAAAAATTTATTTACTTAGGATAAAGGAACAGCAATAAAAAGTAGCAAAGGTTGTTATATTTTCACTCTCTGTGGAATATTATGTCATTAGGAATGATAATTAGAAAACCTATAGAAAAATAGAAACCCAACGAATTTAAAACCACCATTTGTCTCTTGGAGTTTTCTGAGTACATTCTAATTTTAAAAACACAGCTGCAACTACAAAGCCGGATTTTTCTACATCAGTTGTCCTTCAGGTGGCAGGCAAGTCCACCTTTTACAGATGCCCCCAGCAGTGCAGGGAAAGCCTGGCTCCTGTACGTTTGTTTATATGGTCCGTTTTCTTCCTCCTACTCAGAATAGCAGATACAATTAGTTAAACTAGTTATTTTTTCACTCACTGAGCATAAACTAGGACTCAGAAAAGGGATGTTTATCTTGAGGGTTATTTATATTTGAATAGAGGAATGGCAGGAAAATAATAGAGCTTTGAAGCATGCCAGCAGGCCAAATAAATAAATCCTATATGATTTTAAAAAAGAACCAAAACACACCTATAATCAGGCAATACCTCTGCCCTGGGAAACCTAACCCATCAAATTTTTATATTTTAGACACTATTGTTACTCAAATGATTCTAATTAGTTGTTGTAAAATGTAACTTAAACATTGATCAGGCAAGAAAAAGCCCAAGGTCCTTAATAAGATCACTTGGAAGCAGCCTGGCCGGTTTGGCTCAGCGGTTAGAGCATCGGCCCAAGGACTGAGGGTCTCAGGGTCAACTCCGGTCAAGGGCACGGGCCTGGGCTGCAGGCTCAGCCCGGCCGGTCAGGGTGCGTGTGCGGGCGACCAGCCGACGTGCCCCTCCCATCGATGTTTCTCCCTCTCCCCCTCCTTTCCACTCTCTCTAGAAAATCAATGGAAAAAATACCCTCAGGTGAAGATTAACAAAATAATAACAATAAGACCAATTAAAAGCAGCCCTCAAACCAGCTGCTTACGTAACGATACGCATGAGAACAAAATCCTGTGGGGTATCTCGGCTTGTGCCACAGTCGTGCCACATGCCAGTGCCGTAGGAGGACGACCAGCCTCAGTCCCCACAGAGGCTGCGGGCGCCTGGGACGTGCCCGGGCGGTTGCTCTGGGCACCCGCTGCCCGGCGAGGCCAGGGCGCGGGGACG